GTGAATTTGCAGGTGCAAACTGAACAGGTACCAATTAAACAATTATCAAGAAAAAGATCAAGAATGGATTTACAGATCGAAGAACTCGAGCTGGAAATACTTCAGAAACAGCATGAACTTGAGATCCTTCAGAAAAAGCTCAAGATCGTAAAACTAAAGGCAGAATCTGAGAAATCAATTCAGAAGCCCCAACAAACAGAGGCCAATACACAGTATAAAGACGCCTTGATCAAACCCGAATTTTCGGGTAAAATAGAAACAGAAACTGAAAGGTTTTCTGAAGATGAAAGAACCAAGAATTGGTTTGTAGTTCATACAGGACCTAAAATTGGTGTCTATCAAGACTACCAAAAAGTAAAAGAATTGCCAGATTCCTACTATCATGTAGCGAAATCTGAATTCGAAGCTAAAAATATCCTTGAAAAAATTAAGGGTAAATTTAAAGAAAGAACAACTGTTTTCTATAAAATGGGAGTTTTCAACGGAAACAAAATATTGAACCAAATTTCTGGGGAGTTCAATAAATTTGAAATAAACAGTTCTTTATTAAAACTAACTGTTACAAAAGAAGAATGGTATACTCTATTTGAGGAACTAAACGCTAGTACATTAGAACAGGGTTTAGTCCCAATTTCTAAAAACCAGCAATTAAAAGCCATTCTGTATCCTGGATTGGGATCAGAAAAAGTTAGAGACATGTTATTAGGAGGATTTGTGGATTTGCTATATCCTGATAACAAATTGTTGGAATTACAATACTTTCCCAAGCTTAAACAGGCCACAGGTTTGTATATGGAAAAATGCAAGATAGTGCAAAACCAAAAAGGTATTTACTTCAAGGTTTGCAGTACAATTCCTGACTGGGAAAACGAAAAACAATTCCCCGGGTATCATTTTATCCAAATGGGAATTTGTGGAGAGGTTCGACCTCCAAATGTTCTAATCCAAGAACTGAAAAGTCCGTCTGAAGATGAATTAAAACTGGAAAGGAGTGATTCTTATTACTCCTTAATAAAGACTTTGGACAAGTTCACGGCAGCCAGTAAAATCAAGGTGAATTTCTGCAGCGAAGAATTTCTGCTAATCAGTAATTTCACAAAGAAGGTTGATCGTCGAGACTGGGCGATTATCGAAAACTGGAAGAACTCTCTTATCAATAAAACCAGATGCAGTGAAGAAACACATTCCCTATTGAATGCAGTACAAGCAACGATTGATGAAGAAAAAGAGAAAAGTCAAAAGAAGAAGCTAGAAGACAATAATGCTAGACAGCATGAACCCAGCACTAAGAAAGGAGAGTCGGCACAAGAGGAAGACATCAAAGCTGACCCCAGCATGATCTGACAGGCTGAGTCAGGGCCAGGTTGGAGCCTTATCCACTCACCACAATGTAATGCCGCGTGCCTTACATTATTAAGCCGTATTATGAAAGGCACTAATAAGTGAGAGCTGACTCATCAACAGCTATGTATTACTTTTTATGGGCCATGTGCCATTATTGTTGTAAAGATCTTTTCGTCTCTTAGTTGTTAAGTTATGAAGTCCATATAAGAGTGACCTCCGATATGTGGTAAGGCATTCTTATTTTTCGGAACATGAACAATCTTATGTTCTCCTCTCCCTTGTAATCTTTTCTCAAGAAATAAGATAAATTTTTAATTGTCTTTACACTAAGAAAAGAAAAAGAGAACCTTTAAGGTTCCAAAACTTAGAACATTAAGATCTAAACCCAGGTCCAGTAAGGGTCAGAAAGAAACCAAAGGCAACAACCTGCATAATCTCTGGAGTTCCTGGAGGCTAAAGCTCGACGGAATAAGTCCCGGTGGTGGCAGTAAAGCGTCTTGAAGCATAGCTTGGAATTGAGATAAAAATGCAGTGGCGAAAGTTAGCCGTGGTGGACCCATCAACAGAACAAACTGGAAGGAAAGGGTATTGATGCCCAGGAACAGATAAACTTCAGAAGAAGTCAGGTATGACGATTCTAAAACTTTTAGAATAAATGGAAGAAATTTTTGAAATTTCAAAAAATATATGTAAAAAACCAGTTCAACTAGATATTTATTCAAATATAAAATATTTAGAACATAAGCTTTTGGAGAAAATGAAAAAAGAAGCTATTGAAAAATTAGAAGAACTTCTTACAGGAAATTCCTGTATTGAAGAAGACATTAGGATGTATAAAAACTGTGATTGTCATTATGGTGATATATATCCCGGAATTAAAAAACAAAATGAAAAGCTCAAAGCTACAATACAGTTTCTGAAAGAAACAAAGTTTGGACGCTAACCGAAGCGAAAATCGGACAAATATTAGGAGCACTTTCCTTATATTTCCGCAGAAAAGAAACTAAGATCTCAGAAAATGAGTTTGAAAAACTCTAAAAGGAAGGTACCCCTATAAACTGGTATCAGAGCCTGGTAGCAGGCAAAAAATACTAAACTAAAATGCCAGGAATAGACTGGTTAAATGCCTTCTTAGCCAGAAGAAAAACTATAGAAAAAATAATTGACGAAATGGAAAATAGGATAACTCTTTCTGGAAGAGAAAATATTGAATTACAGTGGTATAAAGAAAAAACTAAAAATTTAAATATAGGAATACAAATCCTGGAAAATAATGCTAGAACTAACTCTAGAGTAGAAGAAGAATTCTTTACACAATGTTTAGATCCTTGGAGGTACAGAGAATAATTAAATGGAAAATAATCAATTAGATTATTTCTCAAAACAAGAAACGTCAGGATATTTCGTAGAAGCCCTGATAGATGCTAAAAAACTTGGAAAAGTTGAACACGATTTAAATAAAGAACACAATTTCTCAAAAGAAAAAGTGTTTAAAAGGATTAATAACTTAATCCTAAGAAAAAATGAAATATTTTTTGGTATTATTGCTGGAGAAGAAGCAATTGATACAGACCAAACACAAGGAAATGTAATCATACCTGTAATTTGTAAAAAACAAATTTATAAAAATTTAAAACAGATAAAATCTGAAGTTAGAAATAAAATAGCATATATACATGTATCAACAATACAAATGATATTAAAAAGCACGTTTAGCTTAGGGATAGATACACCTATGCTAATCAGACTAGAAGATAATAGGATGATAAACAAGTCTGATGCACTTGTTGCAGAAGGACAAGGAAACTTGAAATATGGAAAAATTAAGTTTAATCTTAATTATCAAGTAGGAATGTCATTATTAGACAATAATCTTGATGAATCCATCACTCTGTGTTGGAAAATGTTGAGAAATAAATTAATGAAAAAGGGAAACCACCCTTTCTCAGTAACCTGGAGAATAAATTATGCATTAACCAATAGTCATCATAGTTTGTCATTCAAACCTCATGATAAAATTGAAATTGACGAGTTATTCTCACCCATATTACATTTGGAAGCTCCTAAAAGAAATTTTCAAATACAAAGAATTGAGTCTATGACTAGACCCAGTATAGACTATATTATTCCCAAAAAGAATAATGAAGAAGAAGAAACTAGTTCTTCAAGAAATAATACTGATGAAGTAATCATAAAACCCAACAACAAAATATATAAAATTGAACAAAAAGTTCAAGAAATAAGTAAAGAATTAGGACTTAATAATGAGTTCTAAATAGTATACTAATTAATGTTTAAAAGTTTTTACCCAAAGTCTGAAAAAAGTTAGAACAATAAAAATAAAAAATGAGCACAAGAAAAATCTATTTTGATATAGAATGGGAAATTCAAAATATTAAAATGGAAATAACAAGGTATATTTATTTACATGAAATTACAAATTTAGAATTTTATTTTGACATTATGAAGATATGCGAAAAACAATTAAACAGATTAATAATTTTACAAAAACAAGTAACAGTTGCATAAGAAATAAAAAGGAGTAAAGGGCATTATGGGAATAATTGAAATCTTACAAGTGGGAGGGAGTAAAGTGGAAGAAAATTAGACATAGGGACTGAAATGGAAGTTAAAAAAGGGTCTAGGGATTTTTAAAGAAGTGTCCCAAAAATCAATTGGCAAGCGTGCATTTTTTAAATACTATGGATAAGAATAATTGGAGATATTATAAGATTAGTTGAAATTGACCTATCATTTATGGAAAAATTGCACCAACCCCAACTCCTTTATGTTTTTAAAATTGCGTGATACCCTTTTATATTTAACTAACCGATGCACACTTACTCTTTTTTCATTTTTTTCCGTTGGACGATATTTTTTGTGAAAACCATGTTATAACCTCTAATTATTTATATATATTTACGATAAATCGAATTTATCGCGATAATTTGTGAATATCGCGAGAAACTGACTAAAATAAATTTGCAACCCATAATTATTTGAACATGGAACCTCAAGGGAGTTTGGTAAGCATTACCACCACTACTCAAGTGTGTCAGATCTAATAACATTTAATATATATTGACATTACATGTGGATAAATTATATTACAGTAAATTAATAGAATATAAACTTATAGTAAATTAAAATTTAATAAAATAAATTATATAATAAACTTACAAAAATAAAATAATTAAAATAACTTATAAACAATTATAAAGACTTACAATTAACATAAAAATATTTATTGTAGTTATATTATTTTAATCTATTTTTATTAATTATTTTTAATTATATTATTTCATTGTATTATTCATTTTATTTTATTTTATTTATATTAGTTAACAAATTTTATTTATTTTTTTTAAACGAAAGATAATGAAATAAAATTAAAATAATTTTACTAAATTAAATTTGTAAACTTCCCCAAACTCTTCGAAGCTCTCCCGACACCCCCAAATCGGCCAAACCTACCTCCGGCGACTCTCTAATTCTCCCTCTTTCGGCCTTCCTCAGCGGCGGCGGAACCAGGCCGGTGGTCGTCCCCAATTGCTCGGCCCATCCCAGAAGCCATCTCGTCTCCGGCGCCTCCAACGGCGGAAGATTTGTCGCGACCGCCTATTCCCAACTCCGCCTCTTGTGGTGTGATTTGTGGATTGGTCGCCGAATCTGAGGTCTGGGGGGTGTATCGGAAGGGAAGTGGGTCTGTGGATGGGTCGGAGCCCCTGGCAGCGGCGATGAAGCTCGTTGCGGCGGCAGCTGCGATGAAGCTCGTAGCGGCGGTCAGTGTGAGGAACTGCATCTTCTCATCGGACTCCTTCACTGAGATCGAATTCAGCTTCTTGGGCCGCCTCTGAGGTATTTTCCGTCTATTGGCTGTGTTGGTGGTAGATTGAGATTGTTGGGGTTCTTTCTGGTAGGCTTCGGCTTGCCGTCGGTTCGAACTCTAGTTGCCAGCGGGTTGTGCTTGTTATGGGCGAGGTTGTATTGCTCTGGGCGGAGCGTTGCTCTAGGTGCTGAGGTTCATCATGGTTGGGGAGGCCGGTGTTGAGGAGCCGGGCCACCCTCTCTCTTCTCCGTTCGGCTAGTGGTGTTAGGCGGTGGGGGAGCGGTTCCTCTCGAACTCTACTAGTGGTGTTAGTTGAGATTGGTAGGGACTGGTGTGAGGGCTGGCTCCGTCGTGTTCCTCTGGTTGGTGTCGGGTCGTTTTTTATTAGTAGTTCGTGTTCGGGATTGGCTTTTGTATAGGCCTTATGGCAATTTCGGAAGTGGCTCCTTGGACTTGGCTTCTTCTTCGTCAACGACTGTTCGCTGCTGGCTTGGTCTGTTCGATTAGCTGCGGAAGGGCTCTTTTTTCTCTTTGTTTTTTTTTTTGGTTCGTTTGAGTCTGTGATAGGTTGTGTTTTAGGTCTGGGTATTTTACCTGAGTGTTTGTTTTGTTTTTTTGGTTTGGGTCGTTGGCCTCAGTGTGAGAGGGAGCAAATTTATTCTCCTGTTGGGAGCAGCTCTTGTCTCTATTCTCCTGTGGGGAGCGTTTTAGTTGTAGATTTTCTGTGTAGTTATTGTGTGGTTGTCTCGAGTGTCTTCTTTTGGTTTCTAGCGTTGCTAGTATCGGGATTCTAGGCGGTCGTCAGACCTGTCCTCCCATTTTATTCAGCTTTGGGCTGCGTTCCAAGTTGTATCTTTGCACATTTGTGCGTTTGTTATATAAAGTCTCTATCGTTTCGGC